GCTACGTTGGGTCTAATACCTGGGTAAATTTCCAGTCATCGAAGTACATCCCGTGCAGTCAGGGTTAGCTATTTCAGACTGAATAGTTCTTTTTCCGGTGTCGCACTGCACATCCGGACAACTTCACTGTAATCAAACATACTATGATGATCCTTCTCGGCGTCTCTCTATGAGCTGACTTCGCCATGATGCTAGCTCTCGGGTGTTCCGCACACGTCAACCCCAACTCCTCCCCCCTACCAGGGCGCGTGTCCATTGTTTAGACAGGCGCATTAGTGTATAGAATGTGTCGTGAGTACCTCCATTAATAATTACTTTCCTGCAATCAACGTGTCCTCCCATCACCTCTACAGATAAATCTTCTACTCAAGTCATCCTTTTTCTTTCGTATCCGTTTTTAGGTTGTGAACGGTCTGTGATTGTCCTGGATTTTGCCTAGTATAATTTCGTGTCTTTAGTTAATCAGATTATAAGGGTAATTAAGGGGTTCGCCGTCATTGTTTTCTCTCTTTTCCACCGCCTTCACCCGCGAGCCGGGGGGGGGAACCAGCTACATTTCTTTGCGTCCTGGCATAACAGAAGGGGGTTACTTTACCGCAAGAACCCTCCGGCCCCTGCGGGACAGCGTCCCCCCTCCGAATACGAGGGACTTCATTAAGTTAGATGAGTGCCAAGCATGCACCCGCATCATGACTTGCAAGTCTTGATATCAAAGCAGGTCATTCGTGTAACTGTCTTCCTGCTTCTCAGGAACGATTGAGTTCAGCCAGCAGAAATGGCACGTCGTTGGGTCCTGTTGCGATACGGGATACCCCATCTCGGTCCTGGGCAACGAGGATTGGCGTGACCGAAAGCAATTGCAAGAAGCCGGACCACGTTATCGGGCCATCTTCTGGTTGTTCTGGTTCAGCATACGACAACGCCGATACATAGTTTTAGTGGAGTTCCCCGGACGCCAAAGCGGAAAACTCCATAGGAAAAGGGTCCCCATAGCCTTTTACATGCGCTTGGCGCCCGTCATGTGGTGATTGTCGGCTGCTGATTCGGGCCCATAGAGTTGGTGTACCGTCCGATGCGGTGCTTGAATGCATTGGAAGAGCACAGATACTTTGTACATGACCGGCGCGTAACCAAGGTGCTCCGTTATACTGTTAATTCCCTTTCTCAGTCTCTGCGCCGGTGGCTGCTCAACGATATGGCGGATGGCCTGCAGCACTATGTACAGCTTTACATAGCGGAAGACTATTTAAAGTCACCGACCTCAACAACACGTACCTCCTTTTCTTCAGCATACTCTTTTCCCACCGGCCCGGCATCGGTATATACTCATACGCACTTGGATAGCGAGAAACGTCTTGAAGGCTTTCAACAAATCACAACTTCAAACCCCGTTACAAAAATATTATTTTTCTCAAAGCAAACGATGTTTTCTATCTACCATTTCCTCTTTCTTGCCTCGATCGGCCTATTCCTGGATAAACTATCACCAGTGGAAGCAACGTGTCGGAAAGATGTCGGGACAACTCCGTATGAATGTATCAAGTGAGTTCCAACCTTTACTCTGCTTCAGCTCATGTTTTGTTTGGCTTGAACAATCCTCCTCCAATGACTCACAAGATTGTTGTTCTGCTTCATTTTGTGTGGAATTTTCAATCAACCAGAGCACTAGGAAAAATCACGTACAACGCCGATGGCACGCTTCCGAAAACTCAAACCTCGGTCAAAGCAATGTTCAAAAGCTGTCTTGTAAAGCCCTCAATTTTCTTGATTTTAATATCTTTATGGCTACCATCTTTTAACGCGAAAATGTACCTCATCACTGCGTTGCTGATACCAATCGTCTTCCTCCCCTCCCAGATAATCGTAGATAATCCAACCGGTGTTGTGGTGTGAGTGATTATGAACAGATTGCGTCCCTGTGGCTACACTCAGCAGTGACAAAAGATTGATTTTCTCTTTTTTGAAAATCTTGACGTGTTCAGCACCGAAGAAAAAATCATCAATGTCGCTTTAACTCTTTTCCAGCAATGTTACCAATCTGTACGTTCCCTTAATCTTGCACAACTTTGTAGAGCATAAAGAGGCCGATCTGATTCGAACATTGGGCTTGGCATGTTGTCTTCTGCAGGGTGGTCGTCTTCAACTTCCAGATAACCCGACAGTCGGTGTTGAGATTGCTCAACCTGCTCAAGCAGGCTCACAGTTGGAGGTCTATAATCCCGACTTCCCGATCCACAAAGCATCATGTGCTGAGGTCAAAGCAAGGGTCAGGATAGTGCCAGACGACTGCATGAAGTTAATTTGTTCAAGTCTTTTCTGTTTATTTGGCTCCTCCTGATTAGCTCTCTACATACTTCTATGCCTCATCAGGGCCTACGATGACCTGCCAAGCGATCCCCAAGGTCGCATAAGCTCTAGGAACCAAGCCCCAACAAGCTCGATCGGATTGACCTACAAATCGTGCAACGTGAGTCAAACACCTATTGCCTAAATAGAACCCTTCTGATATCTATATGTCATCTACCATTTCATGTTCATAGATTAATCTCGTCACCACGGATGGCTCAATGATTCGAATGTCAGTTCTACAAAGGACTTGTTATTATAATTTGTTGTCACTTGATTAATTACTTGTCTCTTATTGACATGTACAAAACAGGATGAAAAGTGAGGCCCGGTCTTATTTTCAAACTTTGACTCAACAATGTGGTGGAAAGGTGAGCAAACACTTTTTTTTTGAATTTCTACTTGAATGGGACTCTTTCTTGTGAATAAAATGGTTGCTGATTTCAGAATTTTTGGTTCCAGTGGGGTTACATCAAAATGATGGGAACAGACGGAAACAATGGAAGGACTATCATGCACACTTTCTCTGATGCTCAGTCTGCCAAGAGGATGCGGGCTTGAATCAAGTAAATCAATATGTAAAAATTTAATCCAGTGGGTAGAATTGATTTCATGTAACAAATTTGATGTTTTACTTGTTCAAAAGGGGGTATTAAATATAAGAACTCCACCATTAGAAACTAGTCACTTTTCCAAAAACAATATTTTGCATCAATGGGCCCCCAAAGGGGTTGAATGAAGAACCAACATGTTTAAAAAAATGTTGGATTTTTTCAAACAAGTCATTTAAATAATCGTAGCTTGAGCTATATTTCATACCCCTAATGGTGTTTCAAACAAGACATCTTTTCAAGAAAAAAGAATGGATAAAATTTTTTAACTTAATGTTTTCTTTTAGAGATGGCACTTTGCACCCAGGCACCCATGGTGGTGTGGGAACCTGCCTGAAATTCCACTGGATTTGGACACTGCACCTGCACCCAGCACCCGCTGGCAGGTACCTGTTCACCCTGGCAGGGTGCAGGCACCAACCAAGAGTTGCAAATGGCCACAAAAAGTCTGTTTTGGCTCCAACTTATGGCCAGGTACTGTTGTAACCCCTTTTTGGGGTCACCATCTGCTCACTAGACACCCGGACACAAGACAGAGTATGATGATTTCTATTCTCCATTTGAAACCATCATCTCATGCCACAACAGGTACCTGTGGCTGGTGCAGGTACCTGCCTGTAATTCCACTGGATTTGGACACCCGCACTTGTCTCTGGAACCCTGCCGGTGGGTACCTGTCATACACTGGCAGGTACATAGCAGTTGCCTGCCAACAGGTAACTGAAGCCATCTCTATTTTCTTTGTGTTGAGGGATACCAGGGACTGAAAACAAGGCTGAGGTCAAGGCTCATGATGGGGACTTGAAGATGAGGATAAATATGTTTTGATTCAATGAGGAGAAAGAGAAAGAGAGAAGCCTGGTAGCTCAGTAGGAATGGGAGGCTTGGTATAAGCATAACTCAGTACAAGCATGTGAGTACTACATACAGGATTGATCAAAACAACACTTGGAATGTTGCGGGATCGAGCCAAGTTCCCACAAATGAATTGTTCTTAATTATTCTCAAAATAAACTTGAGCAAGCTGAAATTTATGTGTCTGCTGAAGGAGCAAAAATTTAATGGGGCAAGGAATTCTGGTGAGGCCATGGCTAAGCCATGACCTCCACTTTCAAAAGCCTAAGCTGCCCACTTGGTGCAGCAAATCTGTTTCAGTTTTGGTGGCTTTATGGTTCAAGTTTTGAATCTGGATGTTTCAGCTTGCTACTATTACATAGTCAAGCTGACCTGCAATATTTCCATAAATGTCTCAGGATAATAAGTAATAGATTTAATAATCCAATAATATTACAAAAATGAATGAAATAAAATTTCCTTCACAGAAACTAGTGACATATTAAAATACATCATAACAGGAGACTGTGACATGAGATGAGCAGATTTCCCCTGTCAAAGCTCCTGGGAAATTATACATAATCCCAGATTCTCAGAGATGACTGGTGAGCTCAACTTCCCTTTCCCTTTCCAGTTTTTGTTACTGGTACCTACAGTATGAAAAGAACCAGCAAACAAGGCAGCTAGGAATCATCAGTTTTAGAAACTCAGTAATTTTCCCCATCCTTTTCCAGTTTACCTCTTTTTCCCAAATATCAGTCCACTACCCAGCACACCCCACTCAGTGCACCACAGATCCACCCTGTATTTTTGGCCTTGAGTGCCAGGATTTGTCACTGGGGAATACCTTTCCATTACTCCAATATGCAGACCAAATACCCTCGAGTATCTTTGAGACCCTGTAGTAGCCTTCACCTGTCTTCATATCAGAACCAGGCTTGTATTCCTGAGGGCACTGTAAAAACCCCCACAACCGGGGCCCCTTGGTTCCTTTCTACCTTTCCATTCTACCAAACCATCATAATCAGCTGGTATAGCTAGAAGGCCTATTGTCTTGGCATCACCAAGCCTGACAGAATGCATGAGCCTCTCCTATCAAGAGCATCCAGCGGGGATGCCCTGGGGGAGGCTTTGTGTAAAAACTAAGGTCACAGCAGGCCAAGACACACAAATGATAAGTGATCCACAGTACAAGCAAACAGATCAAGCATGCCTAAATTCTTCTGATTTTTTAAGAAAATTGTTTTTTATTTCTCAACAAATTCTGGTTGATTGTAAATAACACAAAGATTTTGCCATGATGAAAGAAACCCTCACAACAAATACAAGTTCTTAAATACTCTTAACTAGATAAAAATTTTTTCTTACTTCTTTGTATTGTGGTTTGAAGAATGCTTGGAAGGATTTGCAGGATCTTCACTTGAAAATCAAGGATTTAAGTTTGGATTTTATTTTATTTTTTGCCTCTCAAAGCCATGATGTCGTCATAGGTCTTTGCCCACAGCAACCTTGTTTGCTATGGATTCACAACCCAGGTGGCCAGCTGCCTCCAATCCACGCCAAAAACAACCAACCCACATTACATGACATTGGCGGATCAATAACTGCCTCAACATCGCAGATTGGCTACAACCTTCTTGAAAGGCATCATCACACCATCAACATATAACATACTGCAACGCTAGCACATTCTGGAGGATTCATGAAATTGGGCCACCACTCTCCCAAATCCTGATCTGTGTCTTAATTCCAACATTGGGACCAATGTTGCATATTATCTATCTTGCCTTGTGGATCCTGCATGTAGGCACATGCATTTGTTTACATTTACTCAGTTTGATGCTGTTGATCTTGATATTTTTCCAGTTTCCTTCCTTGTTCAATACCAATGATTTTCACTTTTTTCCTAACATCTTTGTCCCTCTAATTATGGTTTAATCTTGAAGAGGAACATGTATGAAATCCCTCATTAAGTTCCGACTTTTGTAAAATGTGCACAACTTCAACTTGGAGTGGTTATCAATGAGATGTGAGCCATGTAAAAGGAGAGCAATCTCCAGACTTAAGTCGGAGCCAGTTGGTAGAAGAACCACATGCAGAATTGATGCGTATCTTCAGCTCAGAAGTTGAGACTTGGCTCACTAAGCTCTTGGAGTTAAGGTCCAAGTAAATTCAGTTCATTGGTCATGATCTTCTCCAAATCACTGCTGATTTTAAAGGAAGCCTGTGAAATGACAACCAGTTGATTTCCAGCTCCTGATTTGGATTTGATTCAAAGTCTTGCACATTACAAGATTGGATAACATGAGTAACAACAGTCAAACAAGAAGAAGGCATGCAGATAACCAGAAAGTTTGAGTACAACAACACCAATTGGTTGTAGTCCAAAAAAATCAATCCAGGCAAGTAAATAGCCAAAAAGCAATCCTATCTGGATGTCAGTGTGAATGAACTGGTTGCCACTGGTAGGGAAACAAAGACAAAACCAAAATCAGACAAGAAATTCTTTAACGCTCTTTGTCTCAATGACACACAGTACCCACAATTTCTATCAGCCTTGTAGCCAGAATCAGCTATCATAACATCTGAGCTCACTTTTCTTATTCCAGTTTCCAGGTGATCAGTCTGATCCAAGGCTTGCAAGGTTGACTATTGCAAAGCAGATTTCAAGTGACCCATGATGACACACTAGGTTGAGGTTCTGTGTACAACAAAACAATCATCTGGAAATCAAAACACCAAGCAACCATTAGATGGCCAAAAACGCAAGTTGTTCAAGCACCACTTGGATGGCCCAATCTTGATAGCTGGCTTAAATGAATCCATTGATGTTAGGGTTGGGGTTGGCCCTCTTTAGGGGATGAGGGGGGGGGGGGGGGATCAGTTTGGGTGGTGGT